AATATATTTTGTCAAATTCAATTGTTGGTACTTTTGACTTGAAAGATATCTATATATGGCATGTCTAATTATTCACGTGCAACTACTATTATTCAGATGTACACGTTATTTTACTACAGTTAATATTGGCTGTCAGAATGAGACTCTTATCCAAAACAGTATCATTTTTATTCTACTCCTTGGTTAATGCACTATGGATTATGTTGTGTGGCTGTCATAATGCCTATTCTCAGTGCTGATTAAATAATTAAAATAAATTATGTAATTAAGCCACTATTCTGTGGCATGATACAGTCATGTACTCTCTTCAGTGTAGTGATCAAAGACAGGTACTAGTGAAATTCGGTTGCTGTATGCTTGTTTTCTAGCGTTCATCAACAAGAAAGATGTGTTACTTAAATTAAAGTTTTTATACTTGTTGAGATTCTAAGCTTTTAAATTGGTAAAATATATTTGTCATAGGCTACTAAGGAAGACGCGAAAAATGTACACACTACGGAAGACCAATTTTCTTAAAAGTTTATATTTAGTCCCGTAATTAGGAGCGTGAAATCAAACTGTGTTTCTCAATGTGTTAGAGTATCTGTTTCGGAAAAACTGTTGATCTATTAACCGAAATCCTGTATTAAGCTATTTTATTTTAATCCATGAAATAATTTGTTGATCAAGCTGACTACAAAACTAAGGTTGAGTTTTATTTTCCATAAATGTTTATTATGGTAACGAACTAAAAAGAATAATGCTGAGGTTAATGAATACTATTTGATTTGCAATACTGATGATACCATACATTTAATATAAAAATCAGTCACCTAATTATCTTATTTAATTCGCGATCAAGCGACAAAGTTATCCTCGGATATTATGAAGGACCCTTCAGCTAGTCTGTTAGAGCAAAAATGGATAGTGGCTAACAATGGAATTTAGGACGCGCGTTTCGTCCTATTTGCGACTCGTCAGCTGGATGTACCTGCATCTCAGAATTGATGTTTACTCTGGAACTCGAACCCAGTACCTTTCGCTCCAAACGTCATCGCTTGTGAATTAAGGCAATATCGGGGCAATACGCACGGTATGCACATATACCAATAAGAGACTGACCAGATGCAGAGCTAAGCATCAATGGGAAGATTCAAACAAATAATACTACTTGAATTTAACCTGTTACAGGTTTCAATTTCAAAAATCCTGATATATGAGATAATGACATGGTGGTATGTGCTTTTACAATGTTACTTAACTTGTATTTGTACTAAATAACAATTTTAAGCCTCCAGTAATCATTTATTCTAGGAGAAAATCACCTTTCAGAATCTAAGTAGAACATACATAAACCTTCATATTCCATGCAACTGAAATAAAATTATGTGCAGAATAGTTCCCTAGGGATCGTAAAGAACGACTGGAGTATCTGATAAAATTAAGGCACAAGATATAATACCAAATAAAATTAAACATCTTAAATATTGTCAAACCCGAAAAATAGTTAAAAATATTCTGTAACAATAGAAAATTCCATTTTAATTAGAAATTGCCCGTATGTTCTAAATGCCTAATAACTTTCTCGAGTGACAATAAAACATGAATATTTTCGTTCATTTAAGGTCCCGTTTTGGTTAGAATCCAAGACATGGAGTGGAAACCAAAACACTAGTTATATTTTGAAAATTCCATATTCTATTTCATTCACATTCAGTGTAAAAATATTTGCTTTCATATTATTCATATATTAGATCGATGATAAACTGTTGATCGAAAAATGATTGAATGATAAAGAAACCATTATTTTGTCATTTATTTCTCATGATAGATAGATATAAAGATTATAATTGTAGAGGGAAACTATGAAATCGTTTGTCTTTGAGTATTCTCTATCTATACGCGGTGTAAAATAATGGTTGTCTAACTTAGGTCGCTTAATGGTATTAACAACGTAAAGGTATCAGTCAGTAAAAGAAAGTAAAAGTTGTTTGTCTTAAGTTATATGATGCGCGAAATAATTATTCATCATAAACTGGTTATTTTAAACTATCCAAAATTCCTCGAGGTAAATGACTGCATAATACAGAAAAGCGTGCATGAAGATGTCATATTATGAACAGAAAAGTGTAGTTTACACTAATTTTCATTTACGGCTTTTTATTGGAATAATTACCGTCTGTTTAAGTGGTTTTATTTCGTTCTTTGCCCAACGTAATATCTTTTTAAAATGTTCCCTTAATGTGATATCACATTAAATGCATTTGAAAAGCAAACTAAATATATTTTAATGTATTTGGAGGTTTAATCATTTGCACCTGTTTTCTTACATCACTTGCTGCAATCAGAAATAATTTATTAAGAAAACATTTTTTACTAATGTTTGTTATCAGTGTTGTAGCCAGGTGTTTCCACTCCATGGAAAGTCATGATAGAATAGTTTGAAATATTGATAACTGTATAACTGGTGAGATATAGAAAGGTGACCATGACATTTAGACTATGTTCTGATGCATATTAAATACATTTTGATAGAAATAAATAAAATGGCTTTAAATATAGTGCTTTCTTCTCACGTATTTCATGTACTTACTAAAAAAATTTATTCTATCTAGAGTTTTTCAAACGTGCGAGATAAATAGAGCCTGTATAGCACTAAATGAATGCTTGAGGATTTTTTATTTACCATAGTTGAGATAATCTGTTTATTTTACCAAAAGAAATAGTATGAATCAAATAAGGTTTTTGAAATAAATTATTTTCAAAAGACTTTGAACCAAATTACTGATTGGAAAAGTATAGTTACTAATTAGTATTGTCAGTTTTTTATTTTGTTTCTTGAAAATGATTTAGTGATAATAATTACCCTTTCTGATAAATATCTGTCAAAATGAACAAGTTTCTTCAGTATATTTCTGTATTTTCAAATATCTCAGGGTGTATAATAATGAGTTGCTAAGTTATGACATGTATCTAAGTGAAAATTCACCTATAACAACTGAAATTAAAATATTTGTCATACATATGAACTGAGTAAGCTAGATACCACCAAATGGAATCATTCTTCAACTTAATTATGAAGAATCCATTGCTGTGAGAAACATTTATTTTTGAATGACGAGATAATTAACTAAAAGTATCATTGTTAAGTTATAACTATGCTGAAATGTGAGTGTGAAAATTAAGAAGACGTTGACTTTTATTCATGATTGTTCATGGGTCTGTTTCCACCTTTTTAATCACATTATTAAATATAGTCGACAGCCTCAGACAGAAATTAAGTATAACTGCAGAATATGTCTTCAGAATCCATGAGTCTACATTCAATATAATGGTTGGAAAAATCTGCTACATTGTATCAGTGACGTTCCACATTCTGTGCCTCATATTAAACCATTTGAAGAATAGATGAAAGTATTTTCGGTCTTGACAAATAATTCATCGCGAGAGAAACTAAACAATTGTTGAGGTCAGATTCCAGATTTCTAAGGTATTTCTGTGATGAGCACTCATAAACTACACTTACGTAAAAAAGTGGGGGAAGAATACAGAAATGGATTACCATTTTTTCGACTTTACAACGTGTAAAAAGTAAATCCATTCACATGTGTATCTATAAATCAACCTTTCATTGTTTTAATTTATTTTTTTCTGAAACATTAGAGTGTATGATTAAGTCTTAAAGTGTATTAATTATATTCTTATGCTTTATCTCTTACAAGAGCAAATCATTTGATTTTAGCTAATCTGACAGTGATAAAGAAATTTTTATAAATAACAGCATGCAGCAAACATTTTCAGCAGTTTCAAAATATAGCTTTCCTCTTTATTATTTCGTTATTTTCTAGTCTCTCTTGTGCAAAAAAAGTTAAAGTTAGTTTCAAAGTGCATTAAAAAACATACATGTCGTTAAAAAATTGTACTTGCGGTTTTTCGAAATGCTTCGTATATATAAAAAAATTCGAGTCTCAATATCATGTAAATCCAGATGTTTTGACATTACTTGTCACTTAACGCTGCATCAACTTTCGATTATTTTACAAAGAGAGACTTGGATTATGCAAAAACGTTAGTTTAACTAGAATTATTGGTTTAATTAACAAGAATGTAAAAAGTAGTATGGTTCGTTTCAAGATTCGATTCAATATCAGCTATTCAAAAGTGATGAAGCTCTCAACAAAATATTTGCTGTTGATGTTTGTATGTTTGTCTAAAATTTGCTTAATTTGCAATTATAATCAAATCACTTTGATTGAACACGTGTGTATAGGCATTAATTAAAAATTGTTCTTACTTTCACCACAACTAGTTTCGAACGTTTAGCCGGGAAACAATGAGGTGACATTATTGTAGGGGACAGCTGCTAAAATCTGAACATAAATTATAGTTGAGACTAGAATTTCCATTTTAAACTCAATTACAGTTTACAATTAAATTAATTGCATTACTTCTTCCGTGAGTATTTAAAAATGAATGATGATATTAAAACTGTTTTACTCTTGTTTCGTAATTTGACGAAATTATTTTTTACAGAGTGAATTAATTTAAACCATAATTAGTGACGCTAACAGTGCTTTCTAGAGATACGTTTAACAACTGGAATACGTATTATTCATACAAACTGATTAGAATGTAAGATTTTCTATAAGTAAGAACTTTATTTTGGCAGTATTGAGTTAAATAATAAAAATAGTGTTCTAATGAAATAAAATGTTTAGAAATAGGTATATTTGACAAAAATAAAATTTTGCTATTTCTAGCTAATGGTAAACGATATTCCTCTAGCTTAGATAAGATTATTTACATAAAGAAAGAAAACAGAAATTTGCTTTAATTTTCCATGAAGGCTCCTACTGTTGAATGCGATTGTCGTTCTTTTACCAAAGAATATTTATTGGATTATTTGTTTAAGAACTGTTAGCTTTCTATCTATTCAATAATTTACGTATATAAACAATAAATATTTTAGTACGTTAGCTATGTATTTCCGAGAACACTCCTTATCATCTTTATTTTTACAGATTGCTGACTTTGGCTTTGTTAAACACGTGAAATATCGAACATACACACTGTGTGGTACTCCTGAATATTTAGCTCCAGAAATTATTCAAAGTAAAGTAAGTGGTAATGTTTTAAATATTTGATTTTGTAAAATGCTAAACTAAATTTGATATAAAATATCATCATAGCATGCTTATGGTAATTAATTATGAAGGCTATTGTTCATTTAAATCTCATTTATCAAAAACTCGATAACTACTAGTTTTAATTATAGAGTTTTCAAACAACTTCTTATTGGAATATTTAATGAGCGAATGTCAATTCCTTTTATAGAAACTAAGATTCTTCACACCATACATCGAATTACTTATCACTTTATTCTCGTGATATTTCGAATAAATCTGGATAGACAAACCATGTTTGTCTTTTATTTACACCAGGGATCTGGAAACATCTCAATCATACTCAATATTTTTAACCTACACTTATCAATTTTATAATTATAATTAACCTAAAATTTCATTTTAAAGTAAATGCATATTTATTTACAATCTTAAGAGAGTATTAATTTACTTGCTCAGTATTTTCTATATCACTTTATCATTTACTTACATTAAAAAACAATCAGAAGTCTTTGGTAAATCGAAATGCCTTCTTCCTTTGATCAATATACAGAGACATATTTTTTTATTATAAGATTTCGTCTACAAAAACATATCGTTTCGATTAGAGAGTGAATGATTGTCTGTTTTCACTTGAGAACTAGATTATCATAAATCATTAAAAATGGATAAACTACAAGTCATTTAATTCTGTTAAGTTAAAAGGTAAATTGCGATCACTGAGTTACTCTAGTTTCCGTAGTTCTTTGACATTTATTTCATTTACATAGTTTATGACTCCAAAGCATCAAATAAAATGTTGAAAAGCAGACTATTAGGAACATTGGTATGAAATTTCATTATTCTCTAAGGAATTATACATAATTAATAGACTGACTTTGATATTTTATGTAACTGCATTATAAGTAAAATGATAAGGAGATATATCCGCCTGATTTTTGAAAGATTTAATTTGTTTTATTTACTTGCCCAAGAATTTCATAATTAAAACAAGATCTCCTTGATAAATCTCATGCACATAAACAATGTTGCAAGTATGAAGTGTTTTTTTTTCATTAAGGCATTTGATCTTCGTTTTTTATCTATAAGCAACAATATTTTGTGATAAATATGAATCATTCGTAAATTACCAAATTTAAGTTTAGAATGTTAACTGTGTTAGTAATATTTGAGTTTCTAATCATTTAATGGTAATTAATATTGACTATAGTAATGGTTTATTCATGTATGGTTTGTTTTTTTGTGAATAACGTTTATTGAAAATATTAAAGTAAATAATATTGTAAATACTGTCATATATCCCTGTTGAAGTTTTCAATGAAAAGACTCGGAGAATTCATTTGTAATGCATGACAGTTATGTTTTCATTTAAACTATTTTTGGGTAGCTGGAAGTGTAATATTCAGCAACTGATAGTTAAACAGTACTGTTTTCCTATATTACTTAAATGACAGTTAAGACACCTAGATATTATCAATTTGTCCTCTTCAGTGCATACTACCACTAGATTTGAAAGTTACTAAGCGTTTGCTAGAGATTTCTGTAGATATCGATGTGGATGTAAAACATCAAAATAAAACCAGATACATTTTTTGCGTCTGGTGTATCCCGTTTTCAAAAGATAAACAGATGATTACTTATAAGGTTTTAGCTCAATAGTGAGATTTTGACTTCAACGATTGATAAACCAATAAAATAGCTCCGCCGTAATATTATCGTCCTCTTTAATGGGCGTAAGTGTAGTACAAATACATACCCTCCATTTATATAAAATGTTCAGAGGTGTATAGAACAGAACTAAAAGTATATTTTCGTAATTGTAAACATTTGTCATTTGTCGGTGCAACCGTCACAGCACTCGAAACGAGCAAACGAAATGCAATGTACGTTCAAGTAACTGAGTCACGTTTATTACTTAAGTAACTACTTATCTACCGAAAAAAGCACAGATCAAAAAAACACTTAATGATGACGGTTTATTACTTTCAATACAGATAAATACAAAAAAGATCTAGGTAAATTATATACCTGTGCATTAACATATAAATTTGTATCCTCTTGGAGACTGAAGTAATGGTGAGATAATCGTAACCGTGACATTACAGTTATATCGCATTGCCTGCCACGAACTATTAAACAAGTTTTAGGATTTTTTCCACTAGTTAAACCAATATTTTAAACATAAGGTTAGTCCACTCTGAGACTAGGATCTCGAGTACCATTCAAAAGTATAAAGCCTTTCGTAAATAGATTGCAAATAGGATTTAAATGTTTCAATATTAGTAAGAATACCACTCCCACCGTTTAGTTATGATTGTTTCAGTCAAAAACCCTAAATTAGTCATTTTTTGTACTTAATGCTATTTAACATATCACTATGAATTCCTCGTCACCACACACCCATCAAATCAAGGAAAAATATTCGCCTTGAAATAATCAAGTATAGTCTTCCCAGATGCCTGATAAGGTTTGAAAAAAGTCTAAAACATCTGCAGATGTGTGAAATAACAGGGTCGTTTTAATGAATGAAGTGATATTTGAAGCCAAGTCGTTAATAGTAATCTGTATCCGGGTGCCTGGAGGATTTTAAAAGTTTGATAAATTAAGACATTAAATAGGAATAATATATTTGTAAAATCTCAGCGAATGAATTTAAAGTAAATTCAACGTTTCGCCTGGCAATCTGGTCCAAGCTTTTTCAAGGAATTATAATCAAACATCAAAATTATCGAATATAAATAGGTACATGGTTCTTCGTTTCATTGTACACTGAATAGTTCATCCAATGAACTTCAAAAATGTTTAAACTAGGTATATGTATTAGTGTGTAAGAGATTTGTGATGTGAAATGATAAGTGTTAAGATAACATATTATATATATGCGTAAGTAGTGAGAGCAGCATTTACATTCACACAATATATTGTCTCTTATCGGTGAATTTATAAGGAAAACATACAATTTGTAATATATGATATGAATCATATCTGTCACAGCATGTATAAAATGAAGATAAATGAACGAAATAAAAATGAAACAGTGAATTCTAAGAGGAAGAATGTAATTGGAAACTGAATGTATGTGTCATTTTTAATGTTCCAATAATTGTTCAAGGAATTTCGATAAGACAACTGATTAGGATCATTGAATGTAAATGTTGTCACTCAAATAATACGAGATAGATAAAACGGAAAGGAGTTCAGGTTTTTATTTATTAATGATTAGCTGCCATGGTACAACTAATTGTATTCCATCCCTTCTGTTAATATTGTTTGGATGTTTGGTTGTCTTTCTTTGTAAGAGTTGAATGAATGGATTCTTGTGCCATCGAAATCAATTGTATGACTCGATTCTATCGAGTGTAATGCTATCGCTGAGTTTTTCTCAAGTTTCCTTACATCATCTGAGGACTTAGGAATGTGCTTTAAGCATTGTTTGTGTTCCTTCACCCTCGCACTCAGTTGCCTTGATGTTTCACCTACATACGTTGCATTACAGTCACTACAACTGATTTCATAGACACGATTCTGTTGTTCTTGTTTATGTATTGGATCTTTAGTTCTTACTAGTTTTGATCTTAGAGTATTGTTTGTTCGGAAAAATACTCTTATATTTTTAATATTTAAGATTCTTCTAATGTCTTCTGAAATACCTTTCCGATATGATATCACCACTGTGTTAATCCATTCGTATTTCTTTAATCCTTTTTTTATTGATAATGCCGTTTTATCATTCTTTCTTAACTATTCCTATAATAAAATCCTTCGGATAATTGTTCATCATTAACACAGTGGTGATCCCAATTGACTAACGATCCCAATTATATAAAATCATTTATTTGTTTGATTATGATGATCGAATCAAAATCATTAGACTTATTTTATATTCGTAAAAACTTCGACTTTACGAAAAGGTTATTACATAAATGGTAGTAACGATTCACAAAATATGACACCTGGATAACAAACAAAAATAATTAAAAGGAATTTAAATACAATATATATTTATCTTAACTGATTGCTTGTCAGTAGTTCACGGAAATTATCGATACAGGGGAAAAGGTCCGAAAAATTCAGTATTACAGTGTTCGACAACAAAGAATCTATACCAGTATTTAGGTGAGTGGTTCACAGTTTTGTTAGTGTTGGATTCACTGAGCTGCATGGTTTGATTAGGAAGCTTTCGTTGTCATCTTGGATGGAAGTATCAGCGATTATCCAGAAACCGAAAGTGAATAAACGTCAGAGTCAGTTGATTGAATGAGGAATTACAAACTATCATACAGTTACCATAGGTATTTTTATTATTTTGACAAATAAAATGGTTGGTTTTTCGTTTATTCGACATATTCAAACTAGAGGGGGTTTTGTGGAGAATTTAGTATTTTCACAGTTGAAATCATGAATCAACTGAAGCTAGACCACCATGGAAAACCTGGAAGCACTGGACGGCCGTTTCGTCCTATTATGGGACTCCTCAGCAGTGCGCATCCACGATCCCGCACTCGGGAGATTCAAACCCAGGACCTACCAGTTTCCAGCCGAAGCCCTTCACCGATAGACCACTGAGTCGTCATCCAACGGTGTTAATGTCTAACTTCAACCAATTCACGATTTTGAGCGACCGTTCACCAATTGCCTTCAGTGAGCTGATATCTCTACAACAGACCTGACAGAACTCCACTGGCCACTGCTTCTCACTAGAACTCAAGGAAATATCTCTTGAAGTCAGTCACCAGTGAGCATATGATTATAGATCAGAGGGGGTTTTGTGGAGAATTTAGTATTTTCACAGTTGAAATCATGAGTCAATTAAAGCTAGACCACCTACCTAGCCTGTCGTATGCCCTGATGGTGTTCTCGTGACTTTCGGGTTGCCTGATCTGCCAAGGCGGATGGGACAGTGCATGACAGTATTGTTGTGTGCTAGGTTCAAAGAAAATTGTTTGCTATATGCATGCAAGTCCGCCCCGTTATTGTTCATATTTAAATCAAAC